TTTGAGTCAGTCAATTAAGCACAACTTGTCCTTTGAGAAAGAAACTACTGATTACTACAAGAGTACAAGGAAAGTTTTGTTTTGTTTGAGTGTTTGATTAGTGAGTCTGTGGTGTGTCATTGTTTTGGATGGGTATGTGTTTGTGTTGTTTGAGTCGTTGCTTAGGGACACGCAACAATTGAGTGTGGGGTTGTGATATTCGGCTTTAATATATCGGATTCTTGGACTTTATGTGATTATCTCATGATATGTTTAAGCCGATTGGTGCTATTTTAGGGCTCGCTAATCCGAGAATGGTTGAAAAACCATTACTGCCTAGTGCCATGAGTTTGATGTATTACAGGTGAAGAAAACACGAAAAAGAAGTTGCACCGGCAAACAATTCTCGAATGCTGGGCTTAAAGCCCAGCTGGATGGGGATTAATGACATGGGCCAGAGCAGAAGCTTAAGTGGGCCAAAGCCCACTCGATTGGGCTCCTTTTGCTGGGGGACGGATTTTCTTCTGGAGGTGGACAAGGCTTTGGTGGAAATATATTTTGGAACAAAAATTCTCAGGGGGAAGTCTTGGACACGGAACTCAACTGGGGGAAGCAATTTAATTTTAGGACGGAAACTTAAAAAGAAAGGAGGCAGTAGGACAAAAGGGAGGCGTCACTTTATTATTGGGGGAGCAGAGGAAAAGGCAGAGTGCAGAGAGCCAGGGGCGGAATTCTTGGAGCAGCTGAGAACGAAAATTCTTTGGCAAAAAGAAAGCAAAAGGCAGAACAGCGCAGCGCAGCTTGGGCGAGCAGGCGATTCACAAATCAGCGATCAGTTTTCCAAGCGGCTGGAGCTGAATTCAACGAGATCGATTAGTTGGTTGGATTTTCTAAACCGAATTAGTTGTTTATTGTTGATTGAGAACATGATGATCAAAACCCTATTGTTTGATCTTAATTTCGTCATGAACTAAACCTCGATTTTTGGGGGAAACACCATAGGATGTAGCTATTTCTTGATTTGATGGATTGATTTATGATTCTTTTCTTCCAATCTCTATTGCATGAAATTTCTTAATGCTTTGTGTTGACTGGCCACCAATACATTGATTAGTTGTTAATTAGGTGATTAGCGACAGTGAAACCCTATTAACTGAACCTATTTCATGTGACATAGTAACTTATCGAAGCGACAGTGGATTAAATAAGGTTCTATGAGGTCTTAAATAGGATATCGTTCTTCAGACTAAATAATTAACTCATTGAGCTACGACAGTAGGATTTGAATTAATTGCTTAGTACGTAGTAATTCCCGACAGGGATAGCTAGCACATTCGTGATATCCTGGCTGTAGAGATATGGATTAAATTGATTGGAATATGTGAATTAATCTGGATAGGATAGGTAGTGAATTCCGGTGTTTCTCCCAGAGCTTTCTCCCATTGAATTAAACCCGACATTTTAATTTTCTTGTTTTGTTTAATTACTTTGCTAGTTGATCATAGTTTCATCTCATTAAACATTTTCACATATAGTTTGCTCAATAAAAATTGAGAGAACTTAAGGTTGTACCATTCCCTGAGAGACGATACCCGGACTTTCCGGATTACTACAAGATAGGAATTGGCATATACGCTTTTGACCTATCAATAAGCTTTCCTCACTATCTTCATCCTTCGAAGAATCCCACCTAACGATTCTGCAGTGACCTTCTGAATGACACCAATTATGGCGAATGGGTTACGAAATCACAGAAACCCTTATCGCTAAGAATAAATTGGCCTTCGTCGATGGTACCTTGCTGCGTCATAAAGACAATCTTGCTACCCACCGTGATGCCTGGAATCGCTGCGATGCAATCGTCAAAGGTTGTTGAAGACCGCCATTAGGGGTGAACAAACACACCTGCAAACCGACCCACCCGCCCAATCCGACCCAACCCACCCGTATTTATCGCTAAAACAAAGGGTTTGGGTTGAGTGAGAGGTTTCTTTTGTACATCCCGCCTCTTTTGGGTTGGGTTGGATTTTGGATTACACAACCCATAGAACCCGACCCAACCCGTGTTCCAACTAATAGTATGAGTTTGTATCTAAAAAATACGTATGTCGTATATAGCCATCCTTATGAGAAAATTAAGATATTTCACCATGTTTTTCACTCATGGTCTCCTTAATCTAATGTATTCTTTGACTTAAAGTTTAGACATAAATTGAATATAGCTATGATTCACATAATTCTTTTTTCTTGTGTACAATTGTAATAAAATAACATATTATTGATGCGTTCGTTTATTACCTTTTTAGCCTATTTTAACAAATACAGAAAAAAACTGGACATATGTTGAAGTAAATCACATTTTATTAAAATTCATACAACATTTGTGAATTTTGATACCTTTCACCTCGGTTTTTCGTTTGAAATTTCAATTAGTAATAAAATATTTTTATGGTGTAGAATAATTATATTTTGTGTTGGGTTGGGTTTTTACGTAAAAATATCGCCAACCCGACCCAACCCAACTAGAAACAAACCGTAGGGTTTAAATTTTTTGGGTGGGTTTGGGTTTAATATTTCTCATGTACACCCCTAACCGCCATGGCCAAAGAGGTACGCAATAGTGTTCCCACCGCTACCACAACTCGTGACATTTGGGCCGATTTGCAGCGTCGGTTCAGTCGTGGCTCCACTCAACGGGCCTATGAGCTTTGACATTCCGTCAACAATCTTTGCCAAGACAAGCTATCGGTTTCCGCCTTCTACACTGCCCTTTGCTCATACTGGGACAAGATGTAGGCCATAGGGGGAGTCCCTTGCTGCTTTTGTGCAGGATGTACATGTTGTGGGTCTTTTTGCAATTGGATGCAACAACAACAAGCCAAAGTGGAGGCTGAACGCTTATTCAACTTTCTCATGACACGACCAGATCCTTTTTGAAAACCAAACCACAACTCAAACCATAAACCGGTTACTCCGGAGCAACCCAAAACGGTTTACAAGTCAAAACCAAAAAAAATCAACAACCACAATGCTTAAGATTTTCAAGTGAAATCCCCTAAACACTTGGGCGACCTCAATCCAGACAACAAAACATAAAACACAACCCTTGAGTTTCCCAGTATACTCATTAAGACATGAAACTAAGGACATATATAATGGGAGGTCTCATCTCGTTACCCAGATCCAGTTGACATCTTCAGGTTAGCCGCGACTGCTCTCCTCGGGTAATCTCCTCTTGATGGATGGGTCCTCTTCCCCTCTATGCACTTGGTGAGTGAGAAGGGGTTAGTCTCGTCGTTACTCCCTAAGGTCTTTGCCCTAGGCCAACTCCTTACCAAACACGTTATTAGGGGAATGCCTTCCTAGCATGAAAGTCGTTCTCACTTTCTGCTCTTAAATAACAATCTTATCAACTCATTTCAACCTTAACTCATAAAATTTCTCGGCCTCTATCCTTATCTCAACACAAACACTAGGACCACCGCGTTACGTCTCGCCGTCCAGTGTCCTACCCTAGTATGCCAACTGCGTTACGTCTCGCAGTCCGGTTGCATACCCAAACTCGGCAATGGCACTGCGTTACGTCTCGCCGTCCAGTCCATGCCCGTCAACTACTGCGTTACGTCTCGCCGTCCAGTAGTGACCCAACATACTCGATCAACTATTGCGTTACGTCTCGCCATCCAGCAGTGACCCGATCATCTACCGAGTTCAGTAGTGGTCCAACCGTCCGGGGGTTCCTCATACCCCCAACCAACTATTACAATCATACATTCATACATAGCACATCGCGTGCCTCCACCCTTATAGGCGGTGGGATGCCTCACACACATATCGCGCATACTAGGAAATTAAATATCATAACTGAATTCAAACGACATAAACTATATGACATCGACGGAGATTTTACCCCCTTTACACTCACCTCGAAAAGATGACTCCTCAATTCCTTCCTCGAAGAAACCCCTCCTTAGCCAAATTATCTTGGGGAAACCTATTAATAAGAATCCATTTTCTTAGACGACCTTTCTTGATTAAAACCCCTTTTGAATCACTAGAACATCCTCTCCACAACTCCAATCCTTGAACCTCATTCCAAGGTCCCTTAACCTCCCACTAAAATTTTCTAGAATTAATCCCTTCCAAAACGACAATTTTTCTTAATTATATTAGAGTTGGACGAATTTTCCACCTAACTAGAACCTTCTTAAACATTCAGATAATAATTTTTCCATGTCAATCATGAGCCCCTATACCCTGGAAAATTATCAAACCCTTAAAAAACCCTCGGAAAGATTTTTATTTAATTAAAACAAATATTCAAACAATTTCTAAAAATAGAAATACATCTTAGAAAATTCCCAAATTAAAATAAAATCATCTCCTCGACGTCACTCAATTTATAAAATTTTTATATCCAGAAAAGAACCTTCATAGAGGCTCAAAACAATTTAAAATATCCAAAAATACGTTTCTGGAAATTCCCAGCATCTTTAGTGATCAATCAAAATCTGTCACTAAAAGCCTGTAAAGCCTGTTGCTAAAACCCCAGAATTGTACCCTCACGAAAAATCACCAAATCGATTGATCTAACTCAAAGGGATCGAGTTCCCTTACCTCTAGAACGTGCCTAGGCCTAGGTTGGATGACCCGGGACGTTGATGTCCTTGTTGATCGAACCCTCAACGTCACCGCTAGAAACACGAAAGGGATGAGATTCGGATTGGGATCAGGATCGGAATCGGGATCGGGATGGGGAGCTGGCGCTCCCTTTCTTTTCTTCTTCTCGCCGCGGGATGAGGGAGGTGCTGGGAAGGGATGGCAGCGGAATTAAATGGAAGGGAGGGGGATTATTAGGTTGTCTGGGGAGGCGCCTCCTCCCTTTTGATAATCACGAGAGTTTTTTTTGTTTTATAATAATATTATAATAATATTATTATTCTTAATCTGCAATCGTAACTCTTAGTACGTAATCGTCGATCCAACCGATCACGTATTAAATTCGAACCTAACTCTAAAATACCAGGGTGTTACATTTCTTCCACCCTTACAAAAATTTCGTCCCTGAAATTTAGAACGGGAAAGATAATTACTTGGTCTAAAACTTTAGGTGTTTGACTAAAACTTCTCAAGCTAGAATATAACATTTCCCTCCCCCTTGAAAAAAATTTCGACCTCGAACTTTTGGTCCGAACTTATTTAATAGGTTTGGTACCGAGTACTAAAACTGAAAGTGCGTCTTTCGAAGAAAACAACCAATTAGCGGTTTATGCTTAAAGCAAATACTCCTCCACGGTCTCCCCATTTCTTCACATGATCACATCACTATGCTTGCTCATCCCCTCCATCGTCACCACGATCTCCCTCTATCCCTCGCATGGCAAAAACCCTCGGCTGTCCTCCTGTTGGAGGCCCCTGGTCTCTGTCCCGATCGGTGCGGTCGAAGCGCCCAGTGCGTCCTCCCTGGCTTTGGAAAGAGCGTTTGGCTGGCCGCCAAACCGTGGTCCTGCATGAGTTCTCGCTCCACCACCACGGACAGATTGCTCGGACCGAGCCATCCCTTGTCCGCCTCTCCATGGGCATTCTCTGGCAAAATGCCCAGGTTTGTTACAGTTATAGCAGACCCTGGGTGGCTGCCTACAATCCCCTGCATGATCCCGCCCACATTGGTTGCAGAGACCTCCATTGCTGAAAGTTTGACCAGGCCGGGCCGGTTTGACTCTGAGTACCCCCAAAGCTAACGTTACCGCTCGGCCTCCTTCTGTACTGACTGGGCTGATCGGACCACTCTGGCATGCTACTTGCCTTTCTCTTGCTTCCCTCTCGCTGTATCCCTTCTTCGTGCATAGCTGTGTCAGCCCACTCTATCCGAAGAGCCGCTTGGTAAATATCCTCCCGACTGTTCCATGCCAGCATGCTCAACTGCTTCTTAAGGGCAGGCTTCAGACTCTCCAAATCCTGGAACTGGGGTCCCCCATAGGGCAGCAGCTTCTCGAACCTGGAGGTTTACTCTGCAACACCCTCCTCTCCTTAATTGCCCCATCCTTACTTGATCAGCAAAAATTCCCTCTTATTGCTCAGTCGATAGGCCTCTGGTACATAGTGATCCCAGAACACCCGCACCAACTCTAGCCAAGTGATAGCTGGTGGGTCTTCCTGACTAACTGGAAGGTTGCACCACCAATTGTATGTTGAATCCTGGAACAAGGATACTGTCAGTAGTACCCGATCCTCATCATCTGCCCTCATTTCAGTCAATGTGCGCGAGACCTTCGCTAGCCATTTCTCTACTTCACTAGCATCCTTCGAGCGGTCCCCATCAAAATCCACCACTCCTCGCCTCCGGAAAGCCTCATAATTCGGGGGTTGCCTAACTACCGCGTGGTTAACATTGGCGTTACTTGCTCTGCAAGTAAGTAGTACCCTTATTAGAACCACATTAATGTCTTATCATGCTTGAGTATACTGGGGACTCTATAAACCTTTTCAAATCGGTTGGCCAACCATTTTTCTTGAAAGTCCCCCCTTTTTTCCCTTTAAAACTAAACCTTTGAATACCCAGATCGTCACTCCAGTATTCCTTGGAGACCAAGAAACAGAGGAATGTCGGCTCTGATACCAAAATGACACGACCAGATCCTTTTTGAAAACCAAACCACAACTCAAACCACAAACCGGTTACTCCGGAGCAACCCAAAACGGTTTACAAGTTAAAACCAAAAAAAATCAACAACCACAATGCTTAAGATTTTCAAGTGAAATGCCCTAAACACTTGGGCGACCTCAATCCAGAGCAACAAAACATAAAACACAACCCTTGAGTTTCCCAGTATACTCATTAAGACATGAAACTAAGGACAAATATAATGGGAGGTCTCATCTCGTTACCCAGATTCAGTTGACATCTTCAGGTTAGCCGCGGCTGCTCTCCTCGGGTAATCTCCTCTTGATGGATGGGTCCTCTACCCCTCTATGCACCTGGTGAGTGAGAAGAGGTCAGCTCGTCGTTACTCCCTAAGGTCTTTGCCCTAGGCCAACTCCTTACCAAACACGTTATTAGGGAAATGCCTTCCTAGCATGAAAGTCGTTCTCACTTTCATCCTTTAAACTTTACTATCAAACAGCCTATAAGAGATCTCTACTCCTATCTTATCTTAAGAAATCCCTTACTCAAATTCTTAATCCAAAGATACCAACACAAGGGACCACCGCGTTACGTCTCGCCGTCAGGTGTCCTACCCTAGTATGCCAACCGCGTTACGTCTCGCCGTACGGTTGCATACCCAAACTCGGCAATGGCACTGCGTTACGTCTCGCCGTCCAGTCCAAGCCAGTCAACTACTGCGTTACGTCTCGCCGTCCAGTAGTGACCCAACATACTCGATCAACTTAGGGATGGCAATGGGTCGGGTTGGGTCGGGTTTTGCCAAACCCAAACCCATGGGTTTATCCGTGAAAAAAACCCGGGGTAAAACCCACTGGGTTTGAAAAACTCAAACCCAACCCAACCCGCTGGGTATCCGCGGGTTCATGGGTACCCACGGGTTTTGGTTGTAAAAAATTTACAATAACAAGTTCCTATCAAAATTAAAGTCAAATATCAATCTCTCAATACAAATTATCCATATTTAAAACACAATTCTAGAAAATTCAAGCAAATCACAAATTAACAATACAAATTGTTCAACACCAATCTAGAAAACTCAAGAAAATTGAAGTAAATTATAAATTATCCATAAATAACATGATTAATTGAAGGCTTCTTCCTTTCAATTAAGTTTCTTCACTCTCCACTCGATAACACAAACTTCATTCTACACAATTAGAAAGAAAAAATTAGACATGTCTCCACAAACATAAATAAGATTAGTTGTTTAAAATATTAAATATACCGAGAAAATTAATTATATTTGTGGGCGGGTACCCACGGATCGGGTTTACCAAAACCCAAACCCAACCCAACCCGGTGAATAGTGAACGGGTTTAAATCCAAACCCGACCCAAAACCCGTCAACACGGATTTTACCCGCGTTGACCGGGTTGGGTCGGGTGGGTACCCGTGGGTTCAGGTTTGGTTGCCGTCCCTAGATCAACTGCTGCGTTACGTCTCGCCGTCCAGTAGTGACCCGACCATCTATCGCGTCCAGTAGTGGCCTAACCGCCCGGGGGTTCCTCATACCATCAACCAACTATTAAAATCATACATCCATACATTCATACATAGCACATCACGTGCCTCCACCCTTACAGGCGGTGGGATGCCTCACACACATATCGCGCATACTAGGAAATTAAATAACATAACTGAATTCAAACGGAATAAACTAAAAGACCTCGACGGAGATTTTACCCCCTTTACACTCACCTCGAAAAGATGACTCCTCAATTCCTTCCTCGAAGAAACCCCTCCTTAGCCGGATTATCTTGGGGAAACCTATTAATAAGAATCCATTTTCTTAGACGACCTTTCTTGATTAAAACCTCTTTTGAATCATTAGAACATCCTCTCCTCAACTCCAATCCTTAAACCTCATTCCAAGGTCCCTTAACCTCCCACTAAAATTTTCTAGAATTAATCCCTTCAAAAACGACAATTTTTCTTAATTATATTAGTCTTGGACAAATTTTCCACCTAACTAGAACCTTCTTAAACATTCGGATAATAATTTTTCCATGTCAATCATGAGCCCCTATACCCTGGAAAATTATCAAACCCTTAAAAACCCCTCAAAAAGATTTTTATTTAATTAAACAAAATATTCGAACAATTTCTAAAAATAGAAATACATCTTCAAAAATTCCCAAATTAAATTAAAATCATCTCCTAGACGTCGCCCTATTTATAAAATTTTTAGATCCAGAAAAAAAAAACTTCAGAGAGGCTCGAAACAATTTAAAACATCCAAAAATACGTTTTTGGAAATTCCCAGCAGCTTTATTGACCAATCAAAATATGTCACTAAAAGCCTGTAAAGCCTGTTGCTAAAACCCCAGAATTGTACCCTCACGAAAAATCACCAAATCGATTGATCTAACTCAAAGGGATCGAGTTCCCTTACCTCTAGAACGTGCCTAGGCCTAGGTTGGATGACCCGGGACGTTGATGTCCTTGTTGATCGAACCCTCAACATCACCGCTAGAAACACGAAAGGGATGAGATTCGGATTGGGATCAGGATCGGAATCGGGGTCGGAATGGGGAGCTGGCGCTCCCTTTCTTTTCTTCTTCTCGCCGCGGGACGAGGGAGGTGCTGGGAAGGGATGGCGGCGGAATTAAATGGAAGGGAGGGGGGGATTATTAGGTTGTCTGGGGAGGCGCCTCCTCCCTTTTGATAATCACAAGTGTTTTTTTTGGTTTTATAATAATATTATTATTCTTAATCCGCGATCGTAACTCTTAGTACGTAACCGTCGATCCAACCGATCACGTATTAAAGTTGAACCTAACTCTAAAATACCGGGGTGTTACATCTCATGGGACTCGATGAGACCTATTCTGTGGTAATGTCACAAATTCTTAGTACCAACCAACGACCCCCCTTGCCGAGGCATACCAGTTGGTCTCCGCCAAAGAAAAACATTGGCAGATCACTATCAACCGTCGACCCGTAGTCGATACTGCTATTTTTCCAGCCCAGGCAGGCCGCGAGCAAAAACAGTAGGGTCGAAAGCTCTCGAATGATCGCCCCCGGTGCACACACTGCAACAAGTTGGGTCATGTTCGTGAGTCCTGCTACCGGCTTGTTGGTTTCCCGCCAGGTCATCCTCGCGCCAAGAAAAATGAAGAGAAGTCTAGTTCGAGCACTCGTCGGACTAAGGCAACTCGTTGTGTTCTTACCAAGGCTTACTTGATCAACCGCCTACCCTTGACGAGTCTCACTCGTAAGACTTCCTTCGAGCTGATTTTAGGCCACAAGTCCCCTTACAGTCATCTCCGCAGTTTCGGTTGTCTAGATTACGCCAAGGATACTCATCATGGACTTGATAAATTTGCGGAATGTGGCTGGGCGGGGGGATTTATCGGATATCCTGGCACTCAAAAATGATACCGCATCTATGACTTGCACACCAGGAAGATCCTTGTATCTCGTGACGTCCATTTTGTTGAGCACATCTTCCCATTCTTGCTCATGGCCACCTGGGGCACCCCATAATCACTCACGTTCATTCCTCCCATGCATGGAGAGGCAACCGATGTTCCCTTTCTTGCTGACGATGAACCTGCTATCAAGTGGTTCATTTTGTACCTACTTCGATCGATGTGTCCCAGCTCCTTAACGAAGGCGAGACTGAATCCTCCCCTCCGACTACCCCCTCCTCGCCATCATCGCCACTTAGTACCGACCCTATCATCGCGGCAGAGGAGCCATCCGCGTTGCCTTCTAGCTCTCTAGACGAGCACTAGTCCTCTACAGATCATATGGACAGCAGCTCTCCTCCTGGCCACTCCTCTCTTGCATCGACTCCTCGGTGTAATCCTCCCCGCGATCGTCGTCCGCCGCGTGCTCTTGATGTCTACGAGGTAACCTTGCCCAAAGCTAGTTCTTCCAATGTTGCATTTCCCATGTCCAACCGTGCTTTTTTGGCAGTTTTGACAAAATTTGACGAGCTTCGCACTTATGCCCAAGTCGTCAAATTCGAGCACTAGAGATTTTCCATGATGAAGGAAATTGCAACCCTTGAAGCTCAAGGCACTTGGAGTCTCGAATTTCTTCCTCCAGGAAAGCGGGCGATTGACTCTAA